GGGAGACGACATGGGTGGGAGCTGCTGTCAGAGTCGTCAACCTTAAACCAACGAACGCTCTTTCAAGTCGAAACACCTTCCTTCACGCCTCCTTAGCTAGGGGTTTGGCGCGTGGGAGGAGGGGTCACCCACCCGCCTCGCTGCTCCACGCTCCACTCACGCCAGTAAGCACAGGTGACGAGGAGCATACTAGAATCGCGAAGTACAGAGGAGGGCTGCGCCGCTTCGCTGGGGGCCACTCACCCCAACCCCGCCATCTGGCTCGTCCACCTTCGTCCGCAGGCACGGTGACATCAGGCACATAGAGGCGAGTGAGAAGGCGGGGGCTGCTGGCGGGTACACCCACCCGCCTCGCTCAGCCTCACCCTCTCCGCAGGGCAGGTCGAGCGAGGCAACTTTAAGAAGCGAGTGAGAAAGGGCTGGGCGTGTTAGCTGTGTGGGCGCTGGGCTGCTCGGGGGGGTCACCACCCGCCCTCGCTCGCTCACACCTCTACCGCAGGGCCAGGCTGACGAGGCACCAGACTTACGAGCGAGTGAGAAGCGGCGGGAGGCTGTCTGGGGGGTCACCACCCGGCCCTCGCTCGCTTCCACCTTCTCCGCCAGCGGCAGGCTTGGACGAGGCAATAGACGTAAGTGAGGAGGGCGGGCTGCTTGGACGGGTGCAAAGGCCTGCTGGGGAGGTTCGACCCACCCGGCCGCCCCCCCCCACGCTCGCATCCACCTCTACCTCGCAGCCGGCCAGGTGACGAGGCAAATTAGAAGCCCCGAGTCGAAGCGACGGGCAGGGGCCTGCTGATGGCCACGAGGCTCTGGGGGGTTCACCCACCCGCCTCGCTCGCTCCACCTCTCCACCAGGGCAGGTGCACCGATGGCAATTAGAGCTGAGTGTTTGAGGAGGGCGAGGGATGTGGTGTGGCAGCGGTGCCTGGCGGGGCTCACCACGCGGCCTCGCTCACTCCACCTTTCTCGCAACAGGCAGGTGACGAGGCGCAACTAGTAGCAAGTGGAGGAGGGCGGGGCTGCTGCGATAGGTCACCTATCCCGCCCTCACTCGCTCCACCCTCTCAGCAGGTGCAGGTGACGAAGCGCAATACAGCAGCGAGTGAATGAGGAGCCGGCGGGGTTGCTGAGGTGGGCGGGGCTGGCTGGAGGGTCACGCCACCGCCTCGCTCACTCCAACCGTCTCCGGCAGCAGCAGCGTCGACCAGGCACCATATGAGCGAGTCGCAGATGGAAGGGCGGGCGCAGCTCGGTTGCAAGGGACTTCGCCTAGGGGTTCACCACCCGCCCCTCGCTCGCTCCACCTCTCTCTCGCAGGCAAGGTGACGAGGTCAATGCGAGCCGATGGTGAGGAGAGCGGGGGCTGCTGGGGGGTCACCTACCCGCCGCGCTCGCTCCACCTCTTCGACCCAGGCGCCCGCCCCCACCCCCCCCCCCCCCCCCCTCCCCCCGGCCCCCCCCCCTCCCTCCCTCTCCCCTCCCCCACGCCCCCCTCGCGCCCCGCCCCGCCCCCCTCGCGCCCTCCCCCCCCTCCCCGGCGCCCCTCCCGCCCCCCCCCCCGCTCTGTTGTGACGGAGGCAACAGCGAGCTGACTGGATGGGCGGGCCTGCTGGGGCCGGGTCACTCACGGGCGCCCTCTGGCTCGCTCCACCTCTTCCGTCAGGAAGGTGTAGCGAGGTCAATGACGCGAGTGTGGATGGGGGTGATGGGGGGGTGGGTGCGCTGGGGTCAGGCCTAGCGCCTGCCGCGCTCGCAGCCCATTTCCTGCAGGGGCAGGCGCGACTTCGTACGAACTCGATGCATGTCAGTCGGCGTTGCCGGAGGTGGGCGTGAGACGGATGTTGGTGGTCCATTCGTGACGGTTAGCTCAGGTTAGGCGGTTCGAGTCTTCAGCGGGCCGGTCTCCGGGCCGGCGGGACGTCTCTTCACAGACGATGTGCCAGAATATCTCCGTCCCTAGCCGGCGGCCTAGACGGACACAGATTAGCTGAAGTCAATTCTATAGCACGGCCTTGTGGTGGAGCGCACCAAGCTACGTACCGCTCTACAAGCACGCCGAGAGGTGCCTTATTCTTTGACGCTAAGTATAAGCTTAAGTGAATATTTCGTGAGCTAAGAATAAATCAATTGACAGAGATATAGCCTGGAATATGTAAATGCGCTTGAAGAGGGAGGTATACTAGGAAAAATTAGGTAATTTCGTCTTTCTGACCTCGCCAATTAATTGATTTTCTTCGTAAGTAAGGTCGATAGTCTTGCATGCTCAATACCACATTAATCAAGCAAATGTCCCAACTTAGGAACGTGTTCTTGTTAAAAGAACCGTCAGTGCGCTCTCTGTTAACTATCCGTCCCTACTGTCAGATTTACTCGAAAACGCCGTTTTGACGTGCGCTTGGACGGCACTGACCTCTGTTAGGAATAAATCTCCTGGATGGTGTAGGATGACTCGCCCTGGCTGGACTCGAGTCATGTCCATGGTGGACGTAGATCCTGTTGAAGCAGGGACTTTGCGATATTCGATGGCGTGTGGAGCTCAGCTTGCTTCTGTAGAGGAGTGGCAGAAGTTCGATACAAGTTGCAGTTAACCTTGTGCTTCCTGTGTAATTGGATGAAGTATTGTTGTTTGCCAGTTCAATCACAGGGCTATTCTTAACAACGGTGGTTGTGAAGGTGTGGGGTAATATGCAGTATGACAAATCAGGGACCACGGGTGGTGAGACGCAAGAGCACAGGGTACGATATAAGGATGGGACTAAGGTGTTATAAGACAAACAGGGACTATTGACACACATGGCGACTAAGTTGATAACGAAAACAGGGATTACAGACAACCATGGGACTACACAGTGACAGAGCTAGGACAGGGTCATGACACAACATGCGGACTAAGTCGATAAGCATAAACAGGTACTCGGGACACGACAGCATGGGACAGTCAAGTGATCATAGCAGAAGGGCATGAAACAACAGTAGTTGTGTCGTGGCAAGCCTGCTACCGTTCTTGGCAGCGCTCAGCATGATTTGACTTGCGAGTCGCTCGATGAGGGTTGACATTGTACAGGTATGCTTGCAGACGCGTCTCTGTCTGGCATCATAACCGACATCATCAACATGTCCTTCTATTTAATGCCTGCGGACGAGACCGCGAGATGTCTAACATCTAATGCTCTAGATTGCAGAAATCTACGGGTGAAGTTTTATCCGAGCTCGTTTAATTGCTGTTTCCAATTGTGCTGTACTCGCACTTCCGATGCGTTACAGACAAGATTTAAATATTCTTTAATAGTCTCAGTAAAAATCATTCACGAATTTCCCTCTAAGGTATGCCTCTTGCCTTCATATTTTTTGCTAGATTACTAATGATAGTAGAGCTGGTTTATCAGTGTCTATTGTCATAGTGATGGTAGATTTGTATTAAGTCGAAGGCATTCTTACGACGACTCACAATCTCGTCTATATGTTATTTGGCGACGTATCTGCTCACATTTCCATCGCAAGCACATATCTATGCAGCTAGAATCTCCTCGAGCTCTTCAATACGCGTGGAACACGACTTCTTATGCTCTCTCGGCAACAACAAGCTGTAACACTTTGCTCGTTCGCACACTACCGTAATAAGCGTCACTATTGAAAACTTAAGTCGCTTTGACGGCAGAGCGGACGCCGCTCAGAAGCATGTACGGTGTTACTGGTTCATGCCACGCTCGAGTTCTTTCTGTATACAACTCTCGCACTGGCCAACTGCGAATAGAACGCTGCGCCCTTCCGTCACGCGTGATAGGCCTTTGGCGTATAGCCGGCTAGCTAACAGTAAGTAAAGATGATATAGCTGATGATACGGTCAGCTTTAATGACTTTTCGCTATGTCATATTAACGTTATCTATGGATATGCGTCCAGAGGCGGTCGTAGTCTGGTGGTGTGGTGGTGGAGGGTGGGGGGGAGGGGTAGCGGCGAAGGACGGGTGAAGGGGCTCCTTAATGGTAGGCCAAAAGCGAAGTGTTCAGTTCTTGTTAACAGTCACAAATCCATGGCTTTTCTAACTCCTCCATTGAGAGGTCATAAACGGCTCATCGCAGACAATTACTCTCGTCGCCCATCGTTCAGTGAAGAGTGGACATGTCGCTTGCTTTGTCACCCTGTCTCAGCACATTTCTGATGGTCCTTTTCCATATTACATCCATATAATAATAATGGTAGGTCACCGCTAAACCCAATCTAGAAGTTTTTTCTCGCACATACGCTCCCGTCAGAACCAGTCAGTGCCTCAAGTGACAGATAATGTCTAAAATCTGCCCTGTTGCGCCCATCGTGACCTTCGACTGGTGAGCGCTCCAATCTCGCGCAAGAGTGATGGTCTTTTCTTACACCATTGATGCTTGACACCGACTATCACGAGCTTAGGATCGAGCCTGTCTTTAGATTTGGTGCGCCAATTCTGCATTTCCTCCCTATACCTTAGTAACGGAGGGAATGTTCCCCTTCTTGTTACACCTCCTTGACCTCTTGACCTTTAGACCCCCCAGCTATCGACATCCCAACTCGTTTTCGGATTACCCCCCCACGCCCGAATATAGTGACCGTACGTCGAGCGGTTAAGATTTGTGCCCAACTGTTGACGCACGGACGCACGGCCGGACGCACGCACGCTCATGCGATTCTACAAGCTGCATCTGACTATGTCAGATGAGCTAAAAATGGATTCATTATCCCTTACATCACAACTACCGTATATGATCGCGTAATAACCGCGGGCGCCTATAAGCCGCACCTCAATTTGAATCGGGTAACCAAGTATTGCGCCTAGTATATTTCCCCTCAAGGTATGGCGCACTTATAAACCGCAGAGCAAATACAGGGTTGAAATCTGAGGCCAAATTTGCGGTTATTACGCGATCATATACGGTAATCAACTGGTTACAAACAGAGAGTGCAAGCGGTACATTTTTAATTTGTCATATATCAATCGTGCTACTGAAAAACAAAGCTTAGCAAGCATTGCCCATACACACTGCACTACAGAAAGCCAAGATCAAAGAACATCACGTTTTACATGACAAAGCATACCATCTGTTTAAAGTCAAAACAGTCAGCAGTAAGAAGAAAAGTAAAAACCAAGAGTTGTTGAATGCACGAATGACTACCAATAACATAGAAGCAATGGAAAAATTCGGTTAAAATTCACGAATAATGACGGACGATAGCCGTAACACAAAACTTGTTTGTTGTTTGTGCAGCAATTAAACCGCTGTACGTGTAATTATTTCTCAAGTAATGCAAACCTAAATTTTATTAGTCACAGATTAGCTTATCACAACGCATTGCTAGCAAAAGATCAACAGAGCGATTTCACAAGACAAAGAGAGAGAGAAGTGAAGCAAGTATTGATGATCAAAACGTCTTGAAATGCTGAGCCGTGGCACGGGCCCCTTACCCTCATTGTGCCCGAGCGAGTAGAGTAGGCAGAGAGCAATCAGCGTTTCGTAGTCGTTCTCAGTACACTCAAGAGCATTGAAGATTGCCTCCAGGTATGGCCTGCCACACACACGAGAGAGAAGCAGGAGTCGATTAGTTACCGCACACAGGCATGCACCTTAGGTTAGAGCTAGAACAATACCAGAGCTCGAGTGATAGTGACAACAGTAACAAGCCCCAAACTAAACATTTGGTGAAAAATGAAACTTGTGATACGATCACACGATACGACAGATAGGAAGACATTCGCTCTTGCTTTACACCTGGCAACCAGACGGGCAATCCCAGTCAATCCGGCAATGGTTTGTGAGGTGGCAGGTGTGAGCTTTACCTGTTTGTGAGCTGAAACTGCTGCTGGGCCTCCTCCGAACAGGCCTGGTCCTCTGTCATGCGCTGGGTGGCTGCCGCCTTCTCCTCATCTGTTACATTCACCATCTTAGTGATAGCATCGAACACCTGGCCGGGAGACTCGGGCGAGTCGACTGCAAACAACGGATGGGACATCATTAAAATGGATACAACAAAAAGCCTACATGAACCTACTGTGAGCCTACTTGCAGTATGCAAACATCACGAAATGTTCTTATGGAGCCAGAAATGTTGAGAGACAGTGAGAGAGAAAGTCAGAGAAAGCTGCAAAAGTATGCGACAGCAGCACCTTAAACACCTTAGTCCAACTCAACATTGTAACGACGTAAAACTCTTTGATACATAACAAACAAATATATCATAAGAAAACAAAAACGGTTAGTATCTAACCCTGTATCTAGAGTAGAATTGCGTTGACTGTATTCGCGAATGCTTACTTGCAAGAAGCCGACGAACCTGGCTACACCCCAGCCTAGCCGCTTTGTGTCCGGCTCAACGAGAATCATCTGTATGATGTCGATCGCCAGGAACCGTCTCACCTAAACACAGATGCGGTGTGTTAAAGTGAGAACTTCTCATGTTTTTACCAACCGTTTCGACTGGTAATCCTTCCATAACATCAATTGTAGGCCAGTCTTTAAATTACTTTTAATTTTATTTACTTTTAATTTTCTCGATTTACTTGTGAGATGGTTTTAATGTATTGCAGCGCGTGCGTACATTCGCATGCGAGTGCCTGTCACGTAACCTACTTCACGCGAACATCATAAACACACTGTCTCCAATGTTGAATCCACAGGTACTTGTTGGGCCAGAAGGGAAAAAGTGGAAATGTGAAATTTCTGTAGTGTGTGATGAGTGAACAAAACACTACTAGAGGAACTTTGGAGATTTTTTATATTATCAGCATTCATAACTCGTTCATTTCTATAAATAATCTGTCTATTTATAATATTAAATATTTATTAATTTAAATAGATATATATATATAAATATACATTTTTTTTACTTTGTATAACTCATATAAGCTAGCTCATGACCCGCGATATCGACAGGTGCGACTGGCTCACCTTCTGGTTGTCGGCGGTCATGACGGTGCAGGCTATCAGATCGCTGTTGTTTAGGTCGAGCACACCGTTCGTGCTGATCATGCGCTCCGGCTTCGTGAGCGGCAGCTGCCGGTCCGTCTCGTGGCGCAGCGACAGTGAGAGCTCGCGCAGCAGGAAGAACACTCGGATTGCCTGCCGCAGCGAGAGAGAGAGATAGAGAGAGCAAAGACAGGCGTGAATGAATGGAAGCAGACATCGTCGCCTCACAGAGTAGCTGCACCTCTCGGCAGCCTGTCGGCTCCGCGGAGAGCACGACATGGGTGGAGCTGCTCTCAGAGTCTAACCTAACAACGATGCTTTCATCAAAACAACTTCCTCACGCTCCTTGGTAGGGGTGGGGCTGCTGGGGGGTCACCCACCCGCCTCGCTCGCTCCACCTCTCCGCAGGGCAGGTGACGAGGCAATGGAGCGAGTGAGGAGGGCGGGGCTGCTGGTGGGCGGGGCTGCTGGGGGGTCACCCACCCGCCTCGCTCGCTCCACCTCTCCGCAGGGCAGGTGACGAGGCAATAGAGCGAGTGAGGAGGGCGGGGCTGCTGGGGGGTCACCTACCCGCCGCGCTCGCTCCACCTCTCCGCAGGGCAGGCGCTTCGTGAACTCGATGCCTGTCATCGGCGTGCCGGTAGGGGTGAGCAGGATGTTGTGGTCCATCGTGAGGTACTCAACGTTCAGCGGTTGACTCTTCAGCTGGCGGTACTCGTCCTCGAACATGTCCAGGAATATCTCCTCTCCCTACGCGCCAACGACACAGCATTAGTACATCGATTCTAACACGGCTTGTGGAGCCGCACCAACTACGCTACGTCTACAACACGCCGAGATCTTATCTTTGAGCTAATATATAGCTAATAATATCTTTGAGCTAAAAAAAATCAATTGACAAAGATACCTGAAACTGTATAATGCAGCTTAAGCAGGAGCTATACGGAAAAATTAGTCATTTTATTCTTTCTGATGCAAGTAATTATTTTTCGTGATAAGTCGATATTTCATCTCAACCACATTAACTAAAATGTCCAATTAGAAACGTGGTTCTTTTTAAACTTTCAGCTTCCTCTTTAACTATCCGTCAGCAATTCATTATCGAAAACCCGCTTTACGCAACCATTTTGGACGCACTACCTTGTAGAAATTCCTGATCTGTAGGATAGACTCCTCCCTGGCTGACTCGATCCATGCCATGTGACTATCCTGTATGAAGCAGGGACTCTGATCCGATTGCGTGTGGAGCAGCTGCTTCAGTAGGAGGATGCATAATTCCAAGGTTGCCAGTCTAACCTTGCTTCCTGTAATGAGAAGAATGTTTTCCCACAATCACAGGCTATTTTACAAGTGAAGGGGTAAAGCAGGTAAGACATAATCAGGGACCACGTAACAGAGAGACAGGGTACGATACAACATGGGACTAAGTAATAAGAAAACAGGGTATGACACAACATGGGACTAAGTGACAAGCAGACAGGGTATGACACAACATAGCACTAAGTGATGAGAAAACAGGGTATGACACAACATGGGACTAAGTGACAAGCAGACAGGGTATGACACAACATGGGACTAAGTGATAAGAAAACAGGGTATGACACAACATGGGACTAAGTGACAAGCAGATAGGGTATGACACAACATGGAACTAAGTGGCAAGCAGACAGGGTATGACACAACATGGGACTAAGTGACAAGCAGACAGGGCATGAAACAACAGTAGTTGTCGTGGCAATGTACCGTTCTTGCAGCTCAGCATGATGACCTTGACGAGTCGCTCGATGAGGTTGACATTGTACAGGTACTTGCTGGCAGAGCGTTCTGTCGGCATCATAACCGAATCCATCAACTCCTGATTAATGCCTGCGGAGAGCGAGATGTCTAACTCTAATGCTAGATGCAGAAATCTACGGCAAGTTTTATCCGAGCTCGTTTAATGCTGTTTAACATTGTGCTGTACTCGCACTCCCGATGCGTTACAACAAGAATTTAAATATTCTTTAATATCAGTAAATAATTCACGAATTTCTAAATATGCTCTTGCTTCAATTTTCTAGATTACTATGACTAGAAGCTGGTTTACAGGCTATTATGTGATGTAGATTGGTATGGTGAAAGCATCTAGATGACACAACTGTTATATGCTATGCACATGCACATTCCATGAAGCACTATCTATGCAGCTAGAATCTCTCTCGAGTAAGGGAACACTTGCTTCTGCACAAAAGCTGCTAACACTGGTGCACACTACGAAAAGCTCACTATGGAAACAAGTGCCGCAGAGCGACAGCGCTCAACTGACGTGTACTGTAGCCAGCTATTCTTCTGATAAACTCGCCCCTGGGGAAGGGACGGGTGAAGGGGGCTCTAATAGCAAAAGCAGTTCAGTCCTTTGTTAAGAGTCAACAAATCCATGTTTAACCCTCCTCTTGAGGGTCAAAAGATTATCAGACACTTACTCTTCGCACGTCAGTGGAAAGCACATTTCATGGTCCTTTCAATAAAGCCATAAAAATGCTAGGTCACTGCTAAAACAAAAAAGTTTTCCAATCGCTCCGTCAGACCATGTCCTCAGAAAATGTCTAAAATCTGCCCTGTGCCCCATTGACCTTTGACCCGTGACCTCCAATTTCGGCACAGTGATGGCTTTTCCTACCATGCGATGCGACGCAGGCTATTAACTGGGCAAATGTAAATATGCCGTCTACCACTAAAAACTACAGTCGACCCTCGCCAAGTCGAATCCAACGCGAACTGGGGCTGAGGTCGACTGTCAGTAAATTTAGGCATTTGGCGCCTGTTAATGGCCTCGCTGTGATTTCTAGCGACAACTTACCCCCTGGACAATTACCCCCGGACAATTACCCACCAGGACAATTACCCACCAGGGACAAATTACCCACCCCAGAACAAATTACCCACCCGCGACAATTACCACAGGACAATACCCAGCAGGACAATACCCGCCAGCGACCATTCCCCCCCGCGACAATACCCACCAAGACAATTACCCACCTAACCTTTCCAATAAGGGCAAAAATTCCCCCTTCCGTAAAATTTGTCCCGCTACAATACATAATGTATGTCTGGAAAAGAGCAGAAAGCCTACCCATGTGTTCAGAGAACAGCGGCGTCGATAATTGTGGACGGAGAGCGGGAGTCGCCCCTTACCCCTCCTATAATGCGGAAATGTTGTTCCCCAAATGATCTTGCTCTTAGCCATGTACGTTATGTTATGCAAACTGCTTTTGTGCGGGGTGTGCGTATAATGTGGCTGGCTGGCCTGTGCCGTGGCGGGTGTGTGTTACTGTGAGCTGAATATACTGATTTACAAGAATTATTACAAGTGTAATACTTGTGTGAAGTTAGCGGGGGGGGCAATGCCCTCGAAAAATCATTTTTTATTTGATGCAAAATGCGCTGCAATTGTTGACGCAATTAATTTCTAAGGTCAATCTAATCTGCATTTTTTCCTAGCTTATTATTTCCTAGTAGGCAATGTGATATGTTACTCAGCCAACCTTTGAGCACATCGGCGAAATACATCACCTAGTTTACTGCCCGCAAAAAAATACGTACTTACATTGTCAAATTTCCTCCAGCCCCGTGATATATAAAATGCTTTGGTAAACGCGTCATGTAATCTGCCACTGTGGAAGTACTTGTATTATTTGCATAATGTTACATCCCTTCTTCACTTATGCAATAGTCTATTAACAATATTTAGACAGTTGCAGCCAAAAATGAAACAATGCGCATTCTGAATGCTTGTGTAATTGAATAGAATTGTGCAATAAAGTTTCAAAATCATAGAACTTCAATAGCGGGCTATCGGAAAAATGCTCGCCAAATAAGACAAAATCATCGGCAGATCAGCGAATGTTGAAGTTGAAATTATGAAATCATCGAAGTTGGTTCCGTTAGATGAATCATCATTACTGCTACGGCTGTGTGGTGTGTGGGGGGCGGGCGGCTTTAGGGTAATTGTCCCTGGGCGGTAATTGTCCCTGGTGCGGTAATTGGTCGGATGGGTAATCGTCACCGGGGGGCGTAATTGTCCTTGGTGCGTAACTTGGTCGGGGGGTAATTGTCCGGTGGGTAATTGTCCACGTTTGCGTAGTTGTCCGGATACGGTCGTAGTGCTACATGTCATTGTGTTGATATTGACGTTTTCAATTACACTGTCACGCTAGTGTTGCCTTCATCGCAATGTAGTGTAACTGTTATGTCAGAATTACACAGCAGGCCGCGCATCGCTTGACTGCGCACGTGCCCTGCTTGGCACTGCAGCGGCATTGATTGCCAGTAGAGGGGGAGGGGGCCGAGTGCACGGCTTGTTTCAGTCGCGTGGCGCGCGCTTAGGGCATTTTCATTTATCTTAACATGTTCGTAACAAACAAAGAAGCCTCCGACTTCGAACTTGCTGTGATCGGATTAATGCAGGCTTCGAAACAATTGGACTAGAATCGGTGCTCGAGATAGGCGAAATTCGACTGGGTGAATTTTCGACTTGGACAAGCACTTTGATTAAAGTAAAAAACACTCGGAAAGATCGAACTTTTGTGGAGCTTCGACCTTGGCGATATTTATTCGACCTTGTGCCGACGTTCGGACGTTAGGCGAGCGCTCACTGTATGTAAAATTTACAAGCCCTACATATAATCCTCTGCAATGACTTCCGTTTTAGTTCGACATAATTATGGGCATCACACGTAGCATTCTCTATATTGTTCACTTGGGATGGCTATTAAGACGTCGCATAGGTTTTGCAGCCTTCCCGTAATAACAAACCACAAAACCAAAAATATGTAAACATAGATGCTGCCGCCTCAGCGAATACGAATGTGTAGAAAAAGCATTTAACATTTAAATGCTTTACACACTAGTTGACTGATTTTATTGTAATGTATTTATTAAATAATCAAAATCGAGCTATTATTAGAAAAAGGTTAGATGCAAGTTCTTTTGATCTAATTTTCGCCACAATTCTTCTAAGTTTAGGCTACCAGTACACAGATAATCAAAATGTAGCATACTAGTACATACTTGTAGTCAGGAGAAATAAGCGATACCACCGCAGCTGATGTGAGGATTTTCATCCTGAAATGCAAATTTAAAACACCACAATGAACAAACGTTTTGATCTTGGCCACACGCCACACACGCACAGTAAGCGTGCACGCACACACGCAAGACCCAAAATTTAGGCAAACCCATGAGCATTTCCAATCTTACCAATCTTACAGTATTATATACAAGAAATGCTGCTTATCCATCATATACTCTCCTACCGATCCCCTGACACTTGCCATGCACCAGGACGCAGCCTGCCATCTCTGACAGATGACCTCACGATTACCATGACGACAACACGACATACCGTGCCGTGCGAGTATTTGCGCCTCTTTGTAGGGAGTAGACGGCTAAAGTGAATCAGCAGTCGATTCAGTAGGTCGGTCAGTTAGACAGGTCGTTCAAGGGCGACGATCCTGCAACATTGAGCAGCACAGTCATATCCAACAAATGCTTAATTATTTTTGAGATTATAACAAGTGCCGCAGAGCCGACATGGCTAATCTGGTGTCTGGTACTTCTGCTTGAATAAATTTCATTTGTGCAATAGCAAGCGTCTTATACATTAAAAGTCTTCATATATTCCTCGTTCGACGTTTCGTAGCCAATTCGAACAAATATATCCAGCTACACTTTCGCACCCACCTAATCTCTATGAAGCTAATTCTTTGATAACAAGAAACAATAACAACAATGTGAAATACAAGTTAATGAATGACATTGCACGCTTGACATAAAAGATTTCAACATATGAGCATGATCTCCAAGTTTAATTATAAGGGGGCGGGGGGTCACTGTTCTTCTCCCCCACCTCCTCCCCACTGCCGTCCCACCTCCCTCCCTCCCACTGCGTCCCACTTCACTCCCCTTGCTAGGAGTTATTATTTATTCGCTTTAACAAATGTTACATGAGAATAAAATCTTAATTTAAACTAGCCTATAGTGTGCCCGCGAGATGGCGGTGCAAGTATAATGTCAATAATCAAAAGATTGGTAGCGCCCTTCTTGATACACCTAACTAGGCTGCCCTGGCGGAGTTGCTGTAAATCCTACAGGCAAAATCCTGTTATTCATGGATGGATGCGGCTCGGAGCGCGAGAGAGTGGTGGGGGCGAGAGTGGGGGGGCAGGCGAGGCTCTAATAGCAAAAAGCAGGGTGCCGCGATGCCGCGTGCAAGTGTCATCAATAATCAAAGATGGCATCACCCTTCGTGCGGATTAACCTCCACTCCAGTGAGTGCTGAAATCCAAGTACATTCAGGCAGGCGATAATTTCGCTCAGCCTGTGAGTTAAGCACCATGTGCCAATGCAGCGGTTGGCAGGCCCAACAATTATGATTAGGAGAGAGTGCCAGGCCCCGGGCTGCCCCCCGTGTTTTTGCCTTACCCACGCGGATTCACTGATTAAGCCTTCAGGGTGCTATAGACAGGACTGCGGGCTTTAGAACAATTAATATGATTAAGCGAGCGTAACCTTGTTCAACAAACTTTGCCTTTGCAATTAAACTGTGCGCAACTGTCTAGCCTCACATTCACAACAGGTATGGCTATGTCCCGGATGTGTAAATACTGTGTAAACATTCGAAGGTATTAGTTTTGTAAGACTGCTTAGGTTTGCTGGAGAAATGTTATGAAAGTAGCAATACAAATGAGTTGTACTGAATTTTTGCATCATAGATGCGCTCACAGTAGCTATATCTATGCATTTTGCTGCGAGAACATGCCGTTTTAAACAGGGGTCGAGTGTTGATTTTTAGGGAAGAGCAAGTGTTGCCCTCAGGGCAACCATGTTCTTCAGAGAAGGCTTATCAAGGCTACTTTTTGACAACACTTTTTTATGTGGCACTAAGAGGGCTACACCCACCATTAAATTTTTGAGAAGGACACGGAGGCAAAGCACATCAATTACCAACAGGGATTTATTGCATGGATTAAGTCCAATTTCAGGACCACAACAGCGATTAGGTAAAATACCTACAGCATTGCCGTCACTGCTCTGATGAAGTATGAAGTCTCGTTAGAAGATTTCTCATGCACCGTGAGCCAGTACACTCGACCAGGTAACATGGCTATGGCTATCTACTATGGCTTAACCATACATTCACGTAGGTGAGGACTACGCTCGCACTAGAGCCAAGAAATGGTCACGTACTGCAAGACCTGTACGCAAGAACACATTCACATCTTTAGTGTCACAGCCACCTCGGGCTAGTAACATGTGAAAGCAGGTGGCGCCTACCTGGTGGCGGCGACTGCAGTGCTTCCTCAGAGTTCTCTATCGGTGGATCGTCATCAGGGCTGTTCGCCTCCTGGCCGTCGCCCGTCTGCCGCGTGCTGATCTCCAACGACTGCTCAAGTGTTTCATTCGGGGGAGCAAATCCTCGCACCACCATCTGCAAGCATGCGTGCTACCCTCACAGCTAATGATGCATAGTAATCTCTATGTTTTCTTCTCACAAGTTAGCTTCTTCGGGTCAAGTCGGAAAAGATAGACCCGCACCGATACAAAAATATCTACAAGTAACATCTTCCCACCTTTATGCAGATAACCATAGTTAAAACACTGGGAAGAAAACGGAGAAACGTAGAGAGAATGGGAGAGAGAGGGATGGGGAGGATGGTTGTTGTCTCTGCTCACCCGTTTCGATGGGCTGCCATTCGACTCATTCGCAGCATCGAATATGTCACCATTAAAGACGATTCCAGCCAGCTGTCGCACCAGTGGGGCGTGATTAATGATAAGAAAAACCTAAAGAGAGGCAGAGCATCTGTATCAGTAAATGATGCAGCAAATGCTTAATAGACATTTTCATCGAGGCTCGGACACTCATGTCTGTAATATCAAGCAATCCCACGTGATATCAGGCAGATTTTGAGAGGCAGCGCAAAGCGTAGGTAGGTAGCCGTGACGACTCAGAGACACAATTTGATCTCTCAAGCTTGACTGCGAACGTTCACGTAAAGTCTGAGCGAAAAGATATAGCCGTTTTCATAATCCAAACTCATACCATGAACCACTGCCACTGCATATTCGGCTAGATAACAACCTGCAAGCTTATTTTGCTCACATTATATATTCACGATCATGCACTGTAAAACAACTGAAGCTAGAGTTCAATTCTTATCATATAAGTAATTAACTATTGTATATGCTTGAGGATTACTATCATGCTTCTATTTTCACGGTGGCCTGGAACACAACAGGTATTAAATCACTATAACCGGCGTAAATATCGAGCTGCGATGCACAAGGCCATTAACTGGGCAAATGTAAATATGCCGTCTACCACTAAAAACTACAGTCGACCCTCGCCAAGTCGAATCCAACGCGAACTGGGGCTGAGGTCGACTGTCAGTAAATTTAGGCATTTGGCGCCTGTTAATGGCCTCGCTGTGATTTCTAGCGACAACTTACCCCCTGGACAATTACCCCCGGACAATTACCCACCAGGACAATTACCCACCAGGGACAAATTACCCACCCCAGAACAAATTACCCACCCGCGACAATTACCACAGGACAATACCCAGCAGGACAATACCCGCCAGCGACCATTCCCCCCCGCGACAATACCCACCAAGACAATTACCCACCTAACCTTTCCAATAAGGGCAAAAATTCCCCCTTCCGTAAAATTTGTCCCGCTACAATACATAATGTATGTCTGGAAAAGAGCAGAAAGCCTACCCATGTGTTCAGAGAACAGCGGCGTCGATAATTGTGGACGGAGAGCGGGAGTCGCCCCTTACCCCTCCTATAATGCGGAAATGTTGTTCCCCAAATGATCTTGCTCTTAGCCATGTACGTTATGTTATGCAAACTGCTTTTGTGCGGGGTGTGCGTATAATGTGGCTGGCTGGCCTGTGCCGTGGCGGGTGTGTGTTACTGTGAGCTGAATATACTGATTTACAAGAATTATTACAAGTGTAATACTTGTGTGAAGTTAGCGGGGGGGGCAATGCCCTCGAAAAATCATTTTTTATTTGATGCAAAATGCGCTGCAATTGTTGACGCAATTAATTTCTAAGGTCAATCTAATCTGCATTTTTTCCTAGCTTATTATTTCCTAGTAGGCAATGTGATATGTTACTCAGCCAACCTTTGAGCACATCGGCGAAATACATCACCTAGTTTACTGCCCGCAAAAAAATACGTACTTACATTGTCAAATTTCCTCCAGCCCCGTGATATATAAAATGCTTTGGTAAACGCGTCATGTAATCTGCCACTGTGGAAGTACTTGTATTATTTGCATAATGTTACATCCCTTCTTCACTTATGCAATAGTCTATTAACAATATTTAGACAGTTGCAGCCAAAAATGAAACAATGCGCATTCTGAATGCTTGTGTAATTGAATAGAATTGTGCAATAAAGTTTCAAAATCATAGAACTTCAATAGCGGGCTATCGGAAAAATGCTCGCAAATAAGACAAAATATCGGCAGTATCAGCGAATGTTGAAGTTGAAATTATGAAATCATGAAGTTGGTCCGTTAGATGAATCATCATTACTGTACGGTGTGTGGTGTGTGGGGGGCGGGCGGCTTTAGGGTAATTGTCCTGGTGGGTAATTGTCCGGTGGGTAATCGTCCGGGTGGGTAATTGTCCTGGTGGGTAATTGTCCGGGGGGTAATTGTCCGGTGGGTAATTGTCCAGTGGGTAGTTGTCCGGATACGGTCGTGTGTACATGTATTGTGTTGATATTGACGTTTTCAATTACACTTCACGCTAGTGTTGCCTTCATCGCAATGTGTGTTATGTCAGAATTACACAGCAGGCCGCGCATCGTTGCTGCGCACGTGCCTGCTGGCTGAGCGGCATTGATTGAAGTACGAGGGGGAGGGGGCGAGTGCACAGCTTGTTTCAGTCGCGTGGCGGCGTAGGGCATTTTCATTTACTGTACATGTTCGTAAAAACAAAGAGCCTCCGACTTCGACTTGTGTGATGGAATTAATGCAGGTTTGAAACAATTGGGACTAGAATTCTTCTTCGAGATAGCCGAAATTCGACTTGTGAATTTCGACTTGGACAAAGATTTATTAAAGTAAAAACATCGGGAAAGATCGGGACTTTTGTGGAGCTTCGACTTGGCCGATTATTCGACTTGTGCGATGTCGACTTGTGCGAGGTCAACTGTATGTAAATTTACAAAGCATTACATATAACCCTCTGCAATGACTTCCCGTAGTTCGACATAATTTATGGCATACACGTAGGCATTCTCATATTGTTCACTGGGATGGTATTAAACGTCGCATATTTTTTGCAGCTCCCGTAATACAAACCACAAACCAAAAATATGTAAACATAGATTGCTGCGCCCAGGTAATACGGAATGTGTAAAAAAGATTTAACATTTAAATGTTTTACACACTAGTTTGACTGTTTTTATTGTAATGTATTTATTAATAATCAAAATGAGCTATTATTAGGAAAAGGGTTAAATGCAAGTTCTTTTGTAATTTTTCGCCACAATTTTTCAAATTTAGGCTACCAGTACACAGATAATCAAAATGTAGCATTACTAGTACATACTTGAGTCAGGAGAAATAGCGATACCACCGAGCTGATGTGAGGATTTTCATCCTGAAATGCAAATTAAACCACAATGAACAAACGTTTTTGATTTGCACACGCACACACGCACATAAGCGTGCACGCACGCACACACATACCTACACATGTACCCAAAATTTAGGCAACCCATGACATTCCAATCTTACCAGCAGTATTATATACAAGAAATGCTGTTTCCCATCATATACTCTCCTACCGATCCCCTGACCTGCCATGACCAGACGAGCCTGCCATCTCTGACAGATGACCTCACGATTACCATGACGACAACACCGACATACCGTGCCGTGCGAGTATTTGCGCCTCTTTGTCAGGGAGTAGACGTAAAGTGGAATCAGCAGTCGATTCAGTAGGTGGTCAGTTAGACAGTCGTTAAGGGCGACGATCCCTGCAACATGAGCACACATTCATATCAACAAATGCTTATATTTTGAGATTATAACAAGTGCCGCAGAGCGACAGGGCTCATCTGGTGTCTGGTGTTCTGCTGATAAATTCATTTGTGCATAGCAAGACGTCTTATACATAAGTCTTCTATATTCTCGTTTGACTTTCGTAGCCAATTCGAACAAATATATCAGCTACACTTTCGCACCCACCTAATCTCTATGAGCTAATTCTGATAACAAGAACAATAATAACAATTGAAATACAAGTGAATGAATGACATTGACGTTGACATAAAAGATTTCAACATATGAGCATGGATCTCCAAGTTTAATTAAAGGGGGCGGGGGTCCTTCTCTCCCACCTCCCTCCCTACTGCGTCCCACCTCCCTCCCTCCCCACTGCGTCCCACTTCACTCCCCTTGCTATTAGTTATTATTTATTCGTTTAACAAAGTTACATGAGAATAAAATCTAATTTAAACTAGGCCTATAGTTGCCGCGAGATGGCGCGTGCAAGTATAATCAATAATCAAAGATGGTATCGCCCTTCTTGAGATACCCTAACTAGCTCCCTGGGGAGTTGCTGAAATCCTACAGGCTAAAATCCTGTTATCATGGATATGCGTCGAGCGCGAGAGTAGTGGTGGGGGGAGAGTGGGGGGAGGGGGCTCTAATAGCAAAAGCAGTTGCCGCGATGGCGCGTGCAAGTGTCATCAATAATCAAAGATGGCATCACCCTTCGTGCGTGATAACCTCACTCCATTGAGTTGCTGAAATCCAAGTACATTCAGGCAGGCGATAATTTCGCTCAGCTGTGAGTTAACACATGTGCAATGCAGGTTGGCAGGCAACAATTATGATTAGAAGAGTGCCAGCCCCGGGCTGCCCCGTGTTTTTGCCTACCCACGCGAGCATTCACTGATTCAGCCTTCAGGGTGCTATAGACAGACTGCTTTAGAAAATAATATGATTTAAGGAGCGTAAACCTTGTTCAACAAACCTTTGCCTTTGCAATTAAACTGTGCAACTGTAGCCTCAACATTCCACCACAGGGTTATGGCCTGCCTACATAGATAGCAAAAGCAGTTGCCGTCCTTTGCTCTTAACAGTCACAAATCAATGTTTAACCCTCCTCTTGAGGGTCAAAAGGTTATCCGACACTTACTCTTCGCATGTCAGCTGAAAGTACATTTCATGGTCCTTTCAATAAAGCCATAAAAATAGTAGGTCACCGCTGAAACAAAAAAGTTTTTCAAATGCTGCCGTCAGACCCATACGTCCTCAGATGTCTAAATCTGCCCTGCTGCCCCATTTGACCTTTGACCCCCAGCTTCGACATCCCAACTCGTTTTCGGATTACACCCCCCACGTCAAGACTTTCCCGTACATCGAGCCGTTTAGATTTGTGCTGCAATTCTGCATTTCCTCCCTATACCTTTTAGAGGGAATGTTCCCCCTTCTTTTACACCTCTTGACCTTTGACCCCCAGCTTCGACATCCCAACTCGTTTTCGAATTACCCCTCCACGTCCCGAATATCGTGACCGTACGTCGAGCCGTTTAGATTTGTGCCCAACTGTTGACGGACGCACGCACGCACGCACGCTCATGCAATTCTACAAGCTGCATCTGACTATGTCAGATGAGCTAAAAAGTATTACTTAACAATTAATACCAGCCCTCGACACTAACGGTTGTCCAATTGCCCGGGACAAGTGAAAGTCTATGTGGGACAAGTTATTCTCTTGGCTAGTTGCCCGATCGGACAACTAAAACATTTCCAGTTGTGTGAAATTCCTAACATCCTTTGAGGCAGGGCGCTATCGCACGACATTTCTCACGTTATATTTTCGAAAGTCGCCAAAAAAAAGCAGCCCACGACACCCGTGTCTGTGGCTGTGCACATCATGCCTGTGACGTACGTGCCTGCTGGCTGGGCGGCATTGATTAAAGTACGGGGGGGGGGGAGTGCACCGATTGTTTCAGTCACGTGGGGCATGTTCATTATATTACTGAATATGTAGGAGGGTGGGCACCGTTGGTATGAGAGAGTGACAGCAACTCTTTACTGCAATTGAGAAAAAAGCTGCAATCGGCACGCAAAAATAAACGTGTGAATTTCATTACGATTTTCTATGTATATACTGTAATATGATATGCACTGAACTAAAAATGTACCTTAAAGGCTCTAGATTGCAAGTAAATTTTGGACAAGTAAAACCAAATTTCGGACAAGTAAAAATTGCTTCTTGTTTCCTGACAGAACAACCAGATCTGAAAATAAGCGTCGAGGCCTGAATATTTTAAATTAATCTCTGATCCAAGTATATTGACATGTTAACGACAGCTTCAACAACTGTTCTAGATGCCGTTGAAAAGCTCAATGAAGACTTTTGTCTTGTCCCCACGTAACAGGTGACAAGTGCCAAAAAATGACACAATCGTTTCATTTCAGTCAAAGCAAACTTGTCAAATCAAATGCACACAGTGACATTGTTCCTCTCGGAACGCAAATAAATACGATTAAAATTTCATTAAAATTGAAGGGAAATGGCAGAATTCCCTATCACTAGCACTGCAATGAAACGATTCAGGATTAGACTGCAAAGACATTACACTTATATGCTATTGCTAACAGGGAATTTCTACTCGTACAACTTATACTAATTAGTACAAGGGCAACTTTTACGACAAATATTTGAAATGCACGGCATACGTCACTGAAATCACATATACGGCAAGTTGATGACAACAGGAGTAAGAGAATACCATAGATAATTTTATCATCTAACGCCAGTTGAAACAAATAGAAATGGTTTCACCAATTCAATGCATATACACACCAAGGTTCAGTATGTCGTTCATGTAGTGCATGTGATCTAGATGCTCAGCTACGAGGTCGCCTAGTCGATTCCTGCTGTTGTGCCTGCACATGATAACCCAGTGCTGGGTCACTTAATATGCACGAGAAGTGACAAGCTACTGAGAGCACACGAATCCCTAATTAATTACTTGTAATAACCTAATCCAGCAGTGCATTTGTGCACAAGGTATCAATGTATATCGTAAAGCTATAAACATAGGCAACAATATTTAACTATGATAATGAATTGATCAAAGGGACCAATGACCCTAGGGTTCCTTGCATATTTGCAGTTACAATAGGTTTAAATTACACTACATAAAAATTTGTTTTGTTCAATATTCATTAGAAATGTGTGTTAAAATGTGAGGGCAGGGAGGCGCTTACCCTGCGTCGTTTCTTACGCAGCTATCCAGCTCAAGGATGTGGCTGCCGATGAACCAGACGAGGTTGAAGAAGTAAGGAGCTGCGGTCTTATCCTTGATAAACTTCAGCATCGACTTGTCATCCACTGCAGGCAGGGAGGGTTACAAACAAGAGTATATTAATAATATATATATATATATATATATATATATTCATTTACATGGAGCACATATTGAAATGTATACTAACATAAATTTTGTTTGTCATGCAGTTTGTTAAGCCTAAACTGCATATATTCAGCCAGTTTAACTTGGTTAACTTGGTGCTTCCTGTTGTTGTGGCAACTTTGTGTAAATAAAGATCAATTATTAGAGAATAATGATAGAAGCTACAACATGGTTTTCATATTTTAGCCTTGTATTCTCTAACAATTCATCCCATCTTAAAGTCACTATCTATGTATTGTACATGCACATCGACATAAATTTAGTTATCACAATCACGAGTGACATGCATCTATGACCAAGAAAGGGTAAACTCTAAATTCTAAAACTACTCATATGACGCCTACACTAGCTACGTAGTGAGTATTGTTTGTGTTCTGTTTCTGTCAATCTACGAGTAAATCACTTCATAACAACTGAAATAATAAGAAACCACAGCCTCCCCACGTTCTTCAAGTGAACTGTAACCATGGTTACAATAAAACATAATCTGCCAGTATTGTTAGTGTGGCACTTATATTGTTCAGGGAACAAGACAAGTGTCAAAAAAGGCAGTTACAATAGTAACACATACAATGTAATCAAGACACTTAGTTCGGCCAGAATTTTTATTTGCGGTTGCACACACGCTAGTATCAAGCCGCGGTTATGCTTCTGATGACAACATGGTGTGATTCGTATGATTGACGGAATCACGGCTGCACGCTAGGGTAGAACAAATCGCTCTTGACAAAAGCAATTTTGCGACAGTTATGGCTTTTCTCAGCATGACACTATATACACAATACCAAAACGGGTCAAGCCATTTCCATTTGTGCTGCAATTACGCATTTCCTCCTATACCTTGAGTTAAGGGGGAATATCCCCCTCCTTCCCCCTTGCTAACCTTTGATCTTAGACCCCCCTGATTTGACATCTCAATGTCATTTCAGATTGCCCCTACGTCCTGAATATCAACACCCTACATCAAGCCATTTAAATTTGTGCCCATATTATTGACGGATGGACGGATGCTCATGCCATTCTTCAAGCTGGATCTGACCGTGTCAGATGAGCTAAAAACGATAATCAAGTGACATTTTTAACATTTTCCCAACAGATGAAAAAGTGCGTTCCGATTTAAGTTATATTTGTTTTATTTCAAAGCCAAATTTTAACAGTTTATGTTGAGCGCTATTTTTAAAAATTATTGAAAGAACAACCCGTCTATATGTCTGCCTGCCTGTGTCTGTCTGTCTGTCTGTCTACCTGCTGTCTGTCTGCCTCCCTGCCTGCCTGCTTGATTGTCTAGCTTTTCTCTCTCCCTATATGTCTACTTTATCTATAGATCTACATTCAGACATGTGAGTCTCATGCTATTCACATGCATATCATTTTTCTCAACAGTAATAAATAAATGAAAACAAACTACACAGCGACAGATAAGCAAATCAATTTGAAGCAAGTACCTGCAAAAGCTTCTGAGTATCCAAAAACAATAAGATTTTTTCTTGTCTCTGGCAAACTGGGATTCTATAGGCAACCCTAGCCCGAGCATTAGTGCAAGATGGTGCTACCTGTATGAAAGGTGGACTATAGCCGTGCCGACCTCCTAAATGGGTTGCCGTAAACAGGAAATCAACTTACTGTGTGTATGGCAATTCTGGGTATCAGATTTAAGACACCAGCACTGGTCATTGGCGTCGTGTGAAAGTTCTAAACAGGAAGAAACAACAAAATCGGCAAACGCCCAGACATGCAGTGTTTTAGTGTGTGAAATGGTTATGAGAGAGCAGCTACAGAAACTATTTCGAAAGAATGTTAATAAAGTGTTGATCAACGTTTAAAGTGTTTAGTGTAGGCACAGGATGCCTCCAAACCTGCTCATGTAAACTTTTTGTCCATTTCAAGAAGACACGAAAAGGTAACATTGGAATTATGCACACACGCATGATAGAACACTTGTACAATACTGCACATTTACCTACTGCCATTAGTTACAAAATTGATCAAAATCGTGCTTTAGCAAAATGCAAACTGCGTACATATGTATAACAAACACAAGCACGCACGCATGTGCACACGCATGTGCACACGCATGCGTGCACGAGCATACATGTGTGTATGTCTCTTTATATGCACACATTTCAAAAATTGATGCTTGAAAGAACATAGTAAAGTTAAAAAGGTAGATTCCCATCACCACACATGCACCAAGTTAGAACCAACCATCACACCTCATGCAACGATGATTATTACTGCTATGAACTTTACCCGGAACATACAACACATTATATATATGAATAGAGCATACAGACACCCACGCACACACAGAGAAACACTCTCTTGCTGTGCTGTCATTGCTACTCTCATAGTGGTCTTCTCTTTGCTAAGCCAAGACTTCTGCACACAGTAGGTTCCCATTTATGAACACTGTAACGCTGAGGCTGATCACCAACATATCAATCATGAATGCACTGACACCTGAGGAAAAGCACAAAACCTACCACAAGCTTTACCCTACCACATCAATGGGAATATTTGACTTCCCATCACCAGAACCAGTGGGAGATATTGAGGGGGTAGACCTTCAGAGGGGGTAGTTGGTGCAGCACATGACCTGGTATACAGGGATGGCTGTTGTAATGGGTGATGTAGTGTGAGGGAGTGGTTGGTGCAGTGAGTGATGTAGCATGCGCGGTTGGTTGTTATATTGGTTGGTGTAGTTTGAGGGGGTGGTTGTTACAGTGTGTGGTGTAGTGTGCAGGGGTGGTTGTTATAGTTGGTGGTGTAGTGTCAGGGGTTGTTGTTGTAGTGGGTGGTGTAGTGTGAGGGGTGGCTTTTGCAATAAGTTAGGTATTGAGGGGGTGGTTGTTGCAGTGGCTGATGTAGTGTGAGAGGTGGCTATTGTAGTGGGAGATGTAATGTAAATGGGTAATTGCTGCAGGGGGTGATGTCACAAGGGGGCGTTTGCTGGATTAGGTGACGTAGTGTGTGGGGGTGGTTGATCCAGCAGTGTTGCCGTAAGGTCGTGGTTGATGTTGTGTAGGCATAGGTCACCAGGGGCAGATCCAGGTTTTTTGAAAAGGGGTGTCCAGGAAGAAATAAAGGGCACTTTATCCTGCTTACTTTTTCTGGTGTTTTAAAAAGCTGCCGAAGGCCGGGGGGGGTTTGGGGGACCTCCCCCAAGATTTTTTTTAAAAATTGGTGCATTCTGAGAGCATCTGAGCAGTAATTTTGATGTCTAGAATGCAAAAATTTATCAGATCCGGTCCTCCGGACGCCTGCGGACCCCTCTTTGCCCATTTCTAGGTTTTTATAATGAATTTACATATATAAGTAAATCTTTATCAGAAAAACTAGCATTAAACAAGATTTTTTATGGAGAAAATATAAGAGAAGTGTGTGTGTGTGTGCGCGCATGCATGCGTGCGTGCGTGCATGTGTGTATGCTTTTTCCCCTTTTTTTGTGGTAAAAAGGGGGAGGGTAGAGAGGGTCCAGACCCCTTCGACCTCCCCTCTGGATCCGCCCCTGGTCAGTCAGGAAGGATGAAGTAAGGTGGTGGTAGGGAGAGTGGGTGACCATAGTTAGGAGAGAGCTGGTGGTAATGGGAAGGTTGTGGGAGGGGCCTACACAGTAACGACAATGGAGTGGAGAGGCTAACCAACCTTTGTAGACATTGAGCGTTAGTGTTCGCACTGCATTCCTAACCATGATCTCACTATGGTTGAAGAACTTAATGCCCTCTGTGTACAACGGGAAGTCATTGGTATGCTGAAGCAAAAATGTGCTCGAATTAATCAGATGCTAAATTAGAACGAAACAGGTACAGACTCCTGATATAATCAATGCACCTGCAGTCTCTTGCATATATCTTACTCATCAGGATGGAATTTATACCTCACATATGACGTGATATTACATGTGACAAACACACATAACAGAATGTAATGGTCGAGTGCTTATAACATATACAAAAATTTATAATAAAATCTTTAAAACATTATACACGATACTTAGTAGATTCCAGACCAAAAGTTTCTCATGACATATACATTCTTTAACGCTGGTAAAACACTTACTTCATTATAGAAGAAATGAACAGTGTGTGTGTTGAGCTTCAGGGACAGGGTCTTCAGGAATGATATATAGTAAGCCATGATCTGGAAAAGATGTTTAACTGTAAACATCTCGTGATCTGTTTACAGCCAGACTATTATACATTGTTTAATAAAGGCTAAATATATGCCACAATTTGAAATGGAAAATCGGTGAAAACGCAGGAATATACATCTCAAACTCCTTAGAGATTATTTACTCCTGATATAATGTATATATATATATAATTATGTACAATTTTGTTGCATGATTTTGATATTTTGATGGGTGGGTTTGCAGCAAAAAAGAGATTATCTATAGCTGGTAGTGCTACATTTCACATCCACACGCACCTCTTCATCAGAGAAGTCAAACTTGTGCACAATAATTGAATTAATATGGTTGTTCGACAGCAAGTAATCTGAAACAAATAGACAACAAACCATGAATGTGGTGACAGCCAATAAATCATTTATATTCATTCCAGGGTGCCTAGTGAAGGACTTCTGACATCTATTCCATCTTATGCAGATAAGGTTTTATTCAAAGTTAGTTACTGCAAGAGTCTAGTTGACGCTTCTTATATGTATGTTGGCATTATCTTGTTTTAACTCAACTTCAGATCCTAGTTCTCAAGAACGTGTATTCGAAAAATTATCCACCTTTTATAACACAATGACAGTTGCTGGCCTATTCACCAAGATTTATAGGCAAACATTGCCCAATCAAGGGTCCAACCGTCCAAGCCATATATACACTTAGGTGAAAGCCATGCAGTATTGCTCTGAAACAGATGGGAGATACAAGTGAGAACAGTGGAGTGCGGAAGACTCACACAACGATGTCTCATTGCTGATGTTTTCAAACAAGATGTTGAGAGTCTGGAGCAGTTGCACACACACGTATCGGCCGTATTTCTGTCGCATGATCTTCAGAAAGTATCCCAGCATGTTCTTCTCAAGGAAGAAACTAAAAGCAAAAAATTGTTGAATGGCACCATTTCATTATTAATAGAAAGCCATTCTGATTCATCAGCACATATATGTATAGATAATTTTCTTATTCACAATGATGCGGTGTTTGTATCAGCTATTGCAACAATAGACCTACTAAATTCTGAGTTTAGTTATGATTCCAGATCCCAGATCTCAGATGGAATACCTACCCCTAATATTCAGCACAAGGAGATATTTGTCCTCTCAATCTTGAAGCATTGCAAACCACTTGTACTGGCCATGGCCATCCATGATTCCAGTAACGCTTTTATGGTAACATCCCAGTTGGCCTACTTCCCATTTCATCTACTCTCAGTACGGGCAATATTCCCATTTCGTCTACTCTCAGAATGGGTAATAGTGCCATTTCGTCGTAGTATTGATATTACAACAAATACCAGGAGAAATTAGTGTGGATGCCACTCTGTCTAGTCTAAATATGTATGCTAATCAAAACCATAGATTACATTTATAAACGATTATTAGTGGACAAACTGATGGTAGACAAAATAGGAATGGGGTGGATTTTTAGTGTAGACGAATTGACAGTATGCGAAATGGGTGTAGACCAACTGGGAGTTTTGCTATATAGACGATATGGGAGTAGGCCAACCGGGAATAAACCTTTATAATTTCGGACATACAGCTCAACCACTACTGGAATGTCGCGTAATTATATCAAAACTTTCTGTGGAAATATCGTTCGCAAACTAATGAAACTATCTACAAGTCACATGCTCAAACGTCTACGTCACAGGTCTAGCTGTACGGACAGGCACACAACTTTCGTTTTGACCACAGACACCAACATTCAAACCAGGGGCAACAAAAACAAACAAACAAAATGTATATTTTTTAAACGCTTTGATTAGAGGATTTTTAGTGCATATGATAATGATTTACTAATTCAGATTGAAAGAAAATTATTACTCTTCTTTCGTCCAATCGTGCTTTCGTGCGGATGACCAATAAAAGAACAAATTTGCTAACCCGATATTTCAGCACCACTATATAAATCTTGGAATAATCCGAAGCTTATTGTGTGTGTGGAGACATTTGAGGTAGCTGATCAAGTAACATGACTTGTTGCTGTTGTTGTTGTTGTTGTTGTTGTTGTTGTTGTTGTTGTTGTTGTTGTTGTATGTGTGCATGTTGTTTACATGTGACAGCGAACGAGCTTGGCACTCGCCTGCTCGCCAATGTCGAGTGAAAATAATATCGGGCAAGTAAAAGCCAAAGCTGACTCGCCCATATTGGCGAGTAAAAACAATTGTCTAAAACTTTAATCAATTGTTGATTCCTTACGTTATATATCAAAACATTGATGAAAAACAGCGATTGTGAAGGGTGGCTATCGCACGGCATCCTCACTTTATATTATCAAAAGTCGCCCACAGTCAGCACAGCGTGGCTGTGTCTATGTGCCTGGGGCGGCATATTGATTGATGTACGGGGAGGGGGGGGGAGAGGGGAGCAGAGTGCAGGATTATTTAAAAGTCGCGTGGGGCATGTTCATTATATAGGGGTTGGGCACCGCTGGGATCAGAGAACGACAGCAAAATTCTTTCCTGGAATTGAGAAAAAAGCTGCAATTGGGAATGACACACAATGAGCGTGCTGGCACGCAAAAATAAACGTTGTGTGAATATCATTACGATTTTCCATGTATATATTGTAATATCAGGAGTGTATAATATCGATATAATATACAGATCTATCTATATATATCTATCTATTTATATAATATAGATCTCTATATTATACACTCCTGGTAATATGATATGCACTGAACCAAAAGAGGACCTTAACGGCTCATAGATTGCACAGGCACTTGGAGTTGGAACGTCTCAAAAAAGAAAGAAAAAGTAAACACAAAATATATTTACTACCAAACTCTTAATGTTTCTCTACTCTATTTCGCCTATTATTGCCAATAACTTGCTGTAAATGCCGTTCAAATGCTCATCTGCAACACACAAGTACACCGCACGCCCGCCCTGTGCACAAACAACATGAATAAGAGATGTTGTTATTAAGAGACTTGTGTCAGTTGTGAGAATTTGTGTGGTAACATAATTAGGTGCTGGAAATTTCATGAAATTTTTTGGCTGGAACGTAGAGATATATCTCCTCTATAATTAAAATGTGTGATTGATTCGATTCATTCGTCAATAAACATTTAATCTTCATTAGAGCAATACCTGTGCAAAAAGTGGAGAGTATCCTTAAAACCAAGTGTTGAGGGCTAGAAGCATGTATTTACTTACTCAAAAACACTGCTGTCATTTTGATCTCCCCAAATCAATATTTCAGCGATCTGTCGGAGAGTTTCGACAAGAAGTCCGCGATTCCCCTCATTTACGGTTTGAATCTTTGACAGGACATTGTACAGATACCTATAAATACAAAAATAAGAAAATTGGTCAGTTGTGTTACTACTAGTACTTTAAATACAGTTCAACTATTAATGTTTTAGATAATTAACCACTCATCCACTTAACATGATTGCCAGGTATATCTACTACCCACTATTGTGATTAAATATTCTAAAGACATTGCTTGGCAGTAAAGTTCGCCAAAGTCAACATTTGACGCGTACGTTAGAAACACAATTATAAACAGAGTAGTCAAGCCACCCTAACAACAATATCGAAGCAGATTGTGGTTTATCTTGTTCAGGCAAATAGCTAAAATATTATTAATAATAGTATTAGTAATATCATCTCTAAAGATAACCTAAAACTATGATAGTCTACTCTAGCTCCAAGAAACGGTCTTGCTAGGGTTAGAAAACCGTTTCAAACATTGGCTGCAGCTAAACACGTAGTTGTCATATTTGCCAATTATCGCAAAAAAGAAAACTTCACATGTGATATCCATCTTTTTGTAACCATCAGTGCGCTATGATGCGCTGAGTACTTACGGGGTTACAGCGACTATTTGTGACGAATGCAACCAAAATCATGTACTCGCCGCCACCATTTGTATCATTCCGACTGTGACTCAAATCCGCAATCGACCGAACAAGTTGTTTTTTGTTTTTTAATTAGTTTTGTCTTTAAGTTTTTAATTTTGTTTTCCACACATTTTTTGTAACTTGTGATTGTGTAACTTTCACATCTTTTTAAATGTGCTCATGCCTAAGTACTATAATTGTAGTATCAATAACTGCATCGCGGAGTCTTTTCCGTTTCGGGTTTTCCGTGTCTCAATTGTTGAGCATGTGCAGAGTAAACATGGCGGTTAAACAATTGTAAACAAAAGTTGATATGCTGTGAGAATTAGCAGAATATACTGTGAATTAAGAGATATATTCTAGTTTAGAAGAAGGACAACTGTGAGTTAACGTTCATATTTCAAACAAGGCAAGTCAAAGATGACAATAGAATAGTTTTATTTGAGATATACAGAGTTTTCCATCTAGATCTGCAGAGGTGATAGGTTTTTTGTATGGAAGGGTGTCAGGCTGTATAGACAATCGGTCGCACAGCCTGGTCTGACTCGCAGGCACTTGTAATTTCTCAATAAAAAAAAGAGGTAAATGTATTTACTACCAGTCTTAATGTTTCTCTACTCTATTTCGCCTATTATTGCCGATAATCATGTGTAAATGCCAGTCAAATGCTCATCTGCAACACACAAGTACACCGCACGCACGCCCTGTGCACAAACATTAAGAATAAGAGAGCATGCAGGTAGGAAAGCGTGATCGCAAAATTAGCTCGATGCTCGCTTCATTTCACACGATTACAGAACAAACACACAACTAATAGCCTCCATCTTGGTATCTATGTCAGTGTGACGTCATGCCCGCGTGCATTATGCTTGGCTTGGCGGGCCTCGGAATGAAGCTCGGAGGCAGACAGCAGCTCATCCCGGCATGCAATGCGCCGCATTACTCGTGTATAAACAAACATCTTGTCCCATTTACAAAATCTAGGAGTGGAATTTTCCCACATGATATATCTGGCTGGAGTAGGTAAGAACAAAGGACAGAGTTATAATTCGAACAAGTGAACATTTAGCTACACATAGATACCAAGATGGAAGCAGTTGGTTGTGTGTTTATTCTGTAATCGTGTGAAATGAAGCGAGCATCAAGTTAAATTTTGCAATCACGCTTTCCTACCTGCTCTCTTGTTCTTGTTGTTTGTGCACAGGGCGTGCGCGCGATGTACTTGTGTGTTGCAGATGAGCATTTGACCGACATTTACAGGTGATTATCGGCAATAATACTAATAGGCGAATTAGAGTAGAGAAACATTAAGACTTTGGAGTTTGGTAATAAATTAAATACATTTCGTGTTTATTTACCTTTTTTTCATTGAGACGTTCCAAGTGCCTGTGGTCGGGCTAAGAGTAACAGTAAGTCTACTCGTACTCGTTTTCTCTGTACTCGTATTCGTAACTCGTTCCAAGACAGCGAATTAATTTCTAATTAATATGACAGCATTGCATGTATTCAAAAAAGACGAACAACATTTACCGTAAAATGTTGACTACCAAAGGCAAGGGCATATTCTCGCCGATATCGATGATTTAGAGATTGATAATGATAGATGCGGAAGTGCTAGTGAGTCACTGAGTAGTGTGTATCACTGAACGCAAGCAAAGAACGTCGCATTACTTACTTCATGTGCTCCAATGAATGAGGGTTTTTTGGTTTCCATAACCCTGCTGGTAACCACCCTTTTGGTTTGGAAAACATTCCTGGCTACTGAAGTAGTTAAGACATCTATCGCTTCAAAATACTTCTTTAAAAAACCTATAATAACAAATTTGATTGCTTTCGAAAATGTGTTTACAACTTCTATCACTCTGCTAGAATCTTCTATCAAAATCAAACCACAGTAACGCCCTCTATCACGAATGCCATAAATAAACAAATGAACGTGTGCAACGCGATTGAATGTGCTAATGCGACCACTGATCTCTATAATAGAATCGAGATTATAGAGATCATATATAGAGATATATAATATATAGAGATATATATATCATATATAGAGATATTATAGAGATCAGTGATGCGACTGATCTCTATCACTAGGGGATATAAATCACTTCCATGCTCTGCTATCAATATCATTGATCTCTGTTTATTGATCATTGATCAGATTTGATCATTGATCATTGATCGATGTTATAGAGATCAGTGGCGCGTGTTCGTTCTCGAGATGACATTATTATTGTTATTATTATTAAATCTTTATTGCATGTAATTCAAATACAAATACATCATAAGGCAGTCTATTTCATGGAGAATAAATCTGATAAATGCAATAGTATTGGGCAGTTAAAATAATAATTTTTTTTGCTCGGGGGAGGGGGTTTGTGCGAACCCCCCGAACCCGGCTACGGGCCTGTGTATATGTATATGTATTGTATATATTGTATGTATATGTGTATGTATTGACTAAAGTATGATTGATCCAATGAGTGGCTTGGCTCAAGGCATCACGGCTCAGAGTATAACATACGTCTGTTACACATTTACTTCTTTTTTTTTTTTTACTTTTTTCAATGGGTGACTTGGTTGTCACGCATCTACATCATCATGGTTAAACTATAAACACTTTCATAACAGGGATAACT